TTCGTTTAATCTATGTCAATGTGTTACATAGATGCGGCGAGCAGGTGCACTGACGACACTTGTATTCCTTATTGCACGAGTGATGGAAGATATTTCGTTGCTAATTGTAATTTTTTTCATGAGTTGTCATCTTTTGTCGTCGGTTATTCTTGATTATAGTATCAATTTTTTCTCAGCTACTTGAGGCTGTTGAAGTGAATAATTTCCAAAATGTATTATCGAAATATTAGATAACAGTTAACTTCTCATTAGGCTTTTAATTATTCATTACTTAAATATTATATGTAAATTGAGGCCAACATTTTAACGTCACTTGATCAAAAGATATAGATAAATTTCTCCATGAATTCTTCCAACATTTGTTAACACGTGTCAAACCCGTTGAGAGTTCAGGTCCAGCAGCATTTCCTAGCTGCTATCGATACAAAGGCTCAAAATACACTTGTAGTTGGGCAAAGGCGACAAATTCCTGGAAGTGAACCGCACGAAACACTAGGAATCAAACGGGATTCTAGACAGGAACCTCTTGGGAATTGTTCCTGAGTGTTCCGGCAGGATCGTCCGCTGCTTGACCAGGAATTGTAGTTTGTTGCAGTGTATGTCTTGTGTGAGGAAAGAAGTCTTCTCGTCTTTCAGTGTTGGCAGTGACAAGCTCATTCTTCGTCTATTTGTGTTATTTTTTATAGAATATTTTTAGTAGACGAAATTACTAAGGCAATGATATGGGAGATATAAAAAATGTCTAACAAAAATTGTATGAAATAATGATGATTGTTTCAACGTTGGAGCCGCAATAATGGAGAAATGTAGTAAATTAGGGACATATAAGTTTTCAGGTAAATTTACGCATTTTAAATTGATTAATAAGTAACCAAATATTTTATATCTCTTAATCAATTTAAGCAACATGCTAGATATTATCAAGGACTCTCTGACTGAAAATGTGTGATTGTTTCCGAAACTATGCATGGTTTGAAAAAATATTAATAAAGATTTCAATCAAACCCAATTACGCCTTATGTCGCTCCCAATATCAGCAATAAACTTACCTCAGGTAATTAACATTCCTGCACACAAAGCAAATGGTTTTTCTTGTATTCAGAAATAAAGTACACATCTCTACTCTCGTACGCCTGCTCGCAGGCGCGCGTGGAGCATAGAACGCATCTGCATTAACTTGCATGTCCGGAAAAAACAATTTGAATTTTACCCACAGAGCGCGTGCCTCATGTTCCGCATAATGGCAAGTGAGCAGAATTTTCTGGTGTCCGGAACCAAGTTTGTTGATTTCTATTCATTTTTCTGGCGTCAAGGAGCGAGCAGCGGGGGCCTGACGTGTGATTTCCCTGCGGCCTGCCGGGCGTCCTCGGCCCATGTCCAGTGGTGGATGTGGTGGTGGTGGATGTGGTGGTGGATGTGGTGGTGGTGGATGTGGTGGTGGTGGTGATGGTGGTGATGATGGTGGATGTGGTGGTGGTGGTGGTGGTGTTGGTAGTGGTGATGCTGCTACTGCTGACACTGCTGCTGGTGGTGGTGGTGGTGCTGCCGCTGCCGCTGCTGCTGCTGAGGCTAGACTCTACGTGAGAAGCATTGCAAGGGAAATTGCGAGACTTGAACTGATAGATTCGTTGTTCTACCGCAAGCTATTTAGTCCTATTAAGTTTATTACATGTGACCACAGCTCTTCCTCAACAGATTAATGAGAGATCAGTTAATTGGCTATACTCAACCAGATCCGACAAATTAGATCTGTGAACTAGTATGAAATATAGATCTGTGATTGCTAGTACACGCATTTACAGACAAGTATATGAATGCTAATATAGATATTGCAGACAAGAATGCTAGTATACGCACTTGCAGACAAGTATATGAATGCTAATATAGAAATTGCAGACAAGAATGCTAGTATACGCATTTATATTGTTGAAGCAGATATACATGAGCTAGGCAAGCACTTACATTCCTGATGATTTTTCCAAAAGCATGATTCTCAAATATGTTCATTCACGAGCAAATGAGCTTACTCATCTTGTATAAATGATGTAGGGTATCCAAACTTAAATTTATGTTTGAATGAATTAGCAAGCACATGCAGCAGTCACGTATCAAATAATTAACGAGCGCTCTGCATCTCAGTGATATGCTACACGCATTCCTGTCATGGTTATCAGCAACTCGGATAAAGCTGGTGAAATCCACCAGTTTGGCTCGACAACGCATCACTCGACCGACAATAGTAATATGAGATTTATGAAATAACATATTACATAGTTTTAAATAAGGAAATGAGTCCAACTTTGAATTTAATTTCAGTTTAACTAATGTAGATTTTTGATCACATTAAAGAATTTTTACAATACGATATCGACCTAAAAGCCTTCTCAATGCGGTAAAATTTAGCATAGCAGGTAAGAAAACAGTGCTGAGAAGCTCGACTGAGATTCAGACGGCAAATAGCGAGCATAAGTGGCAAGCTGGGGCCAGATAAGCTGGTGCGGCCAAGGAACACTCGGGGCATTCAAGTTCAGCTTTTGAAGAGCCTCCTAAATATTAAACGAGTTCACCCTTGAGTGACAGCCGAAGAGCTGCTGCAATTGACCGTCGCGATCCTGCTCTGTATATGTGATCAGGCAATGCAAAGACATCCAGTGATGTCATCAGGCAATGCAAAGACATCCAGTGATATGTGATCAGGCAATGCAAAGATATCCAGTGATGTGATCAGGCAATGCAAAGAAACAGCAAAGATAACCAGTGACGTGATAAGGCAAGCAGGCACGGCAAAGATATCCAGTGACGTGATAAGGCAAGCAGGCACGGCAAAGATAACCAGTGATGTGATCAGGCAAGCAGGCACGGCAAAGATAACCAGTGATGTGATCAGGCAAACAGGCACGGCAAAGATAACCAGTGATATGATCAGGCAAGCAGGCACAGCAAAGACAACCAGTGATGTGATCAGGCAAGCAGGCACAGCAAAGATAACCAGTGACGTGATAAGGCAAGATGGCACGGCAAAGATATCCAGTGATGTGATATCTAGTGAAGTGAAGTAGGCAAGGCAGAGATATCAAATGCAAAGGTGAGCCTTAATTCTCAACCTATTACATCCCCACACGTCGGCAGCTTCGCTGGTGAAGGCATTACCAGCATCAGTCGAAGATGGGTTGGAAATAATTCTTGCAAATACAATCTACTAAAAATATTTTCTTCTTTTAGACAAAAAAATATCTTTCCCACCAGGAAATAACGCTAATAGTTGAAACGAATTGAACTCGTAATCAACGTTGTTTCAACGTCATTTGCCTTGTGGACTTGACTGCGCGGAATTCGATGAAAAAAAATTCTTTGCAGAACATCCCAACCCGTGCGGGAATTACACGCTCAGTGAGAAGAGCATGCAATTGCATCATACCAGGGGCCATACTTTCAAAACTCGCTAAGTGAACGTAGGTACTTACGCTCTATTTTCTTGTCTGTGATTGGTGGAATTTACTTGAAAGGCCATCAATGATTGGCTGATGAACTTACGGTCTCTTAACTTTTTTTTGAAACTATGGGCCCAGCAGCTTAACACTCACATGATGCGATGGCCTGTGATGCATCTAATTAAAAATTGTGAGAGGTCAATTAAAAGTGAAGTGAGGCTGGAGGAGTTCAAGCCGTTGTTGAGCTCGAGATGCACCTCGCCATGATGAGGCGATCACTGTTCTCAAGGGCCTCGGCAACTTTGGTTTATTTATTCATTTATTCATCTTCATTCGAGTGGCTAAGGGCAGGTTCTGCTACGCGATATGTGAAAATGTGCGTTCAAGTAAATTTACTCGCTGGCCAAAGGTTGAACAGCAGCGTTTGCCGGAATATTACCTCTATTAATGCCATGTTCTGAAGTCCAAACTTGAACGGGTTAATAACAACACTGTTAGAAAAAACGGTGAAAAAACGGTCCCACCGGCATCCTTATGGCCGGTCGCCCCGTGAAAATAAACTGTTTCGCCGTTTTTATCATATGTTTTACGGATTTCTGGTGTTAATTTGGAATAAAAACGGTGAAACTGTGTTTCTTTTCACGTGCCGACCGGCCACTGAAACGCCGGTAATACCGTTAACTGTCATTTTTCTAACAGTGAATACATTTCAATAAAAGGCTCCTTGCCCGAAAGTCTATTGACGACCATATGGTAGGCTGCACAGTTATTATATATCACAATAAATGTTCAGTATCAAGGCTCGCGCGACTTCCGAGTAGCAGCAGATGAAGCGACTGTAGAATATAGGGGCGTTGTCCGTCAATGTTTTCGACAGAGAACAAGAACGGCGAGACAGAAGACTGATAGACAGACTGAGAAACAGACAGGCAAGGGCACTGTCGTCGACACCCATTTTCTCGACAGTGCTTCACAGCGGCCAGGGAGCTGCAACAATGGTCCGTCGCTGCCATGCGAGGCTAGCATAAAAATTTGCCTAGCTTTTTTAGTGGAAAAAATAATAGTATTGAAATTACGTGTAAATTTCGTAGCTGGTCGAAAATTTTGTTAAGAATTGCTCGTGAAAATATCAGTTTTGAAATTTCGGGCATATTCAGTAGCTATTCGAAAAATTTGCTTAACTCTTTCGTTGAAAAATCGGTTAGGTTTTGAAATGATGTTTGAATTTAGAATTTTTTCAATTGATTCACTTATTAGATCAGTGACTCGGAAATGATAATATTAAGATGTTAATAATTTCAGTGCTGCTTACAACCATTCTCTTCTTCTGCAGATTCAAATTCAGAATTTAATTGCAAATACCCAGTAACTGTTCAACCTCGGGTGACATTATTTAATGATATCAACCGCAAATACTTCATCAACACGCATATGAATCACCATGGAAGATCAACGTAATAGTAAATAGCGTTCTGGAAATACATCTATACACAGAAAAGAGAATACAGTTGTGTATTCAGTAATACAGCCTGATTACATTCAGGCCGTGAGTGTGACGTGTGCCACCGGTCAGGAGTCTTGAGACGCGCAATCTATCACAAGTGAAGTGTGGCGGGCGACCCACACAGCCACTTCACCACAACGCCACACCGTCACGCCACCATGCACCACACAGTAAATTGTGGCGGGCGACCCACACAGCCACTCCACCACAGCGCCAGCGACCCACACAGCCACTTCACCACAGCGCCACGCCGTCACGCCACCATGCACCACACAGTGAAGTGTGGCGAGCGACCCACACAGCCACTCCGCCACAGCGCCACGCCACACAACTCGTAGGCTCAAACTAGTGTAGAGAGCCTATAATTCAAGTCTAACATATAGCTATCGGATACGATTAACAGTTGCTCGCTCATGCTCATAAGCACACGCAAATGTGCCGAGTTACTTGAAAGTTCAAACCCGCGTAGCAAACTTACAAATTTGATCTGATAAGAAATTATCAAATCAAGTCAACAATTTACGCGTATGTCGTTGGCAAGCAAGACAACACTGAAATGAGTTATTCGCTATTCTGCCCGGTACATGATTCGGTAATCAACTGTTTTAAAATCCTTCACAATAAAACTTCATAATTTATTCAAATATTTCTATACAAGTTTCTTCTCCCTTTGAAAACCAAACATGCAAAATATTTGCATTACATTTAAACAGCGTTTCCGGCCTTTTCAGTACTCACGTTGATAATAATGTACCAGGTCTTTGTTCCACTGCTTCCAGTTGCATCAGTAAATGGCGAACATATTTCCCCATACGCACGGATTATCACCACTACTGCGTAAGCTGTGCACCACACCCCGTCACATCTGGTAAGCGCGCCTGTCTCATATGCGACACGAATACCAAATACTAGATCGAAAATAAACGATATTAAACGTAAACGCGCAACAGGAAACCTTCAATACTTTTTTTCTTGCACGAAACTTTGTCCGTTCGGCAAATTGATAACATCTTCCATTGCTGAAATGGCTTACCCATTCATATGAGTTGCTTGGACAAACTGTACGTGATTAAAAACGAATAATAGTGGACAATTTGAATCAAAGTTTCCTCTTGGAGAATCCAGGTGCTGCATAGATCCCAACAAGATTAATCAAGGCCAACTAAGATCAAGAGATTTCAAACTTCCTTTCCAGAGAGAACTCAAGTGATTCTCTACGTGACCAGGATACCTATGAGAACATTAAAGATCTAAGCAATACGGAAAGGAAACGAAGCATCACGAAGTAAATACAAGTAATAGCACTTGTGAATAAATAACACAGGAAATTTATTGTAACTTCCTTCAGCAAAATATTTCCGAAGAAACTACAAAAAATGTAACTCAGTGCTCACTGCAGTGAGTGACTGAGAGCGCATTTTCTCGTCGACGAAAACTTGAGGTCACGGACGGACGGACGGTCGGACGGACAGACAGACAGACGAACATGGCGAGCACAATAGTGCATTTTATCCATAAATGAGAAAATGCGCTAATAAAAATTATTACCAAAAACAAACAAACTTGAGCTATCAACGAACGACTTGAGTATCTCGTTGAATTTCAATAAGTGCTTTCGTTGACAACTTGTGTTGAAATATCCCAAACAAGGGCAACGCCTGCGATGTACAGGGATTACAAATCAAAATTTTTCGAGAACGTATGTCTAAACTTAGCTTAAATTATTAATAACAGAATCTTTGAAATTTTTCAAACCGTGATTCCTCCCATTGGTCGTTTTGTTTTTAAACTTCAGTAACCACTAATTTTAAGCTGTCAACAATAATAATAATGCACTGCTGGCACGTTAAAACGCACCCTGAATGTGATCTGATTATGCGAGTAAAAATTAAATGCACTCCAAGAACACGCATCTCTTAATTCTTCACTTTTCACGTTGAAATTCCAAAACCTAGTAAAAAAGGGCCGACCGGTTGAGAGCACTCATGGTACAAAATGTGAAATTAAAATGCTTGTATAAAGTCAATTAATATGAAAGGGAATATTCCAACATCCTTTTTCATATGTGTAAAGGTCCACACATTTGCGATTCATCCTCACTCATTAATCAGTAGTACAAATTCGTACCATATTAAAAATTTTCAAGTTTCGTATCAAAATAAAGGAAAATTTCATTATTATTATTCACAAGAGCAACTGGAGCCGCAGCATATTGATGAAATGAGTCCCCCACACACTCGTAAACAACGAGCAAGCATATCTTCGCGCCCACAAGCGTGCTTCCATGAGTGGGGAAACTATGGCAACCACCACACATTTATTCAGATGACTCACACTTAATAGTGGCCACTGACGCTATGCTTTGCATGTCTAATGCGCTACACTACACACACAGTGAAATATCAGCGCAAAAGAACACGTATCGAGGCCTAAATAAAAATACTGGAATCAACAGCAGGAGCAATTGAGCGAAGTTCAGCGCAAGTTGCTGAAAACCGCAAGCTCTAATTTTCAGGGCGACTGCAAGGTTACAATAGATACGACTTTCTTCAAATAACGCTATTTTAACGTAGTTAGAAACGTAGATAAGCCTGTGAATACAAGGAAGAAAAAGTAGGTTACTCGAAAGAATAAGTAAAAAGCCTAATTTGAAGTAGAACATGTAGCCATTGAAATTAATATGCTTTGGGCATAAAATTCAAACCTTGAAAATTTACTCGAAACTTGGAACTGGCGAAGGGCTATCTGAAAAATCCTTAAAAAAATCCTAAAAAGTACTAAAATCCAAAGCTTCGTCAAAGAATCGCAGAATCCTGTATACTGCCTCTCGGAAAAAGAGTGACTAAAAACACTGATTTCAATACCGCTGAAGCAAACATTCAGAAGCTTTTAGCACTAAAAATTAATAGCTGTTCATCAAACCTATTCATAAATTAATATAACCTATGGCTAAACCTATAATAAACACTAAACTAATCACGCCCGATAAAAGCAGCAGCATTTGGCAATGAAATATTCATGGACGTGTTGATTATATCGCACGCTGCATCTCACGGCTTCCCACGCAAGGTCGGTCCTCTTGTTCGCTTCAGGTGGCAGGCGACGATAGACGAGTTTTTGTGCAAGCAATTAAAAGCGAGCAGCGATTGCCAAGAACTTCCTCGATGGACGTCTCTATAAGGCAGTCTACGCGTTGGTAGAGCCCAAAGTATTGGACAACACAAAGCTAAGGCAGCCATATATGGATGCGAATTAGGTATCGTTCACCAGACACACGTCCTCTCATTAAGTGCAAGCACGAAGACGGAGGAACGTCACTGCTATAATAAGTAGCCGTGAGCAAGTCTGGGTATATTAAAATGCGACGCGCCTCTACACAATGTTAAATAATTAGACTATAAACTGCACTCTTGTACATAAAAAGACTATTCAAAGCATCATGCAAGAAGACTATTCAAAGCATCATCAAAGATTTATGGGAGCACTATTTCAGGAAAGATCCAAGCTTAAAATTTACAATAAAATCCCATGCAGTTCTAGTGATTTGAGCCGGAGCCATATTGAAGATATCGCTCCAGACATTTCTCGCGCTTGTATTGCGGTTAGCGTTCACGGTCACGAATGCACAATTTGTCACCGAAGACAGCAACACCAAAAAGAATATCACAATGAACTTCAAAAGCAATGTAAAATATAGTATTCTTCTCAAAAGTACTGATATAATCTCGAGCACGTTGGCGCTGGCAGGAGGCGTGCCACGATCCAGATACAAATGCCGCGATTGAGAAACTGATGAAATAAAAGTATAGAAATACAAAGTAAATTGAAAAAAATACACCGAGCACCGGTGTTGCAGGCGGCGGCTGCAGCTTAGAAAAAAATGGCTTGCAATGAGAGGCCGAGCGCGTGCCGACATGCGGCGTGGCGTCGGACACCAAAAACTTCGCAGCCAACAATGGGTCCGTTAGTTACTACGCCATGGCTTTCGAGAGGATGAACTGAAGACGAAGCTTAGGTTCGGATGTTAAAGCGACCACGCAATGAGAAAGTTGGAGGAAGATGCTCTGAATACGAAGGTTCGGATGTTAAAGCGACGACGCAATCAGAGAGTTGGAGGAAGATGCTCTGAATACGAAGGTTCGGATGTTAAAGCGACCACGCTATCAGAGAGTTGGAGGAAGACGCACTGAATACTAAGTTTCGGATGTTAAAGCGACCACGCAATCAGAGAGTTGGAGGAAGATGAACTGGAGAAGAAGATTCGGACGTTAAAGCGACAGATCCATCAGAGTGTATAGAAGGATGCACGGAAAGTCTTGCATAAACACTTTCTGCTGATCATGCATTCTTACAGCCCTCTTGATTAAAAAAGTCCAAGTTGAAATGACGATGCAATCTCGACGCTTGCATAATCCACGAGGCGACGATATACAAGGTTATGATGACGAGACGCGCACTAGGGTGACCACGCAATCAACTTATGGGACGCAATTATTAAACAAAGATACGAACCTTTTGAGCAACCACAGACTTCAACCGTCAGGCAACCAGGAGACCAGTAATGCACGGCATTAATGGCGACGAGAAGGAGGCTTGCAGAACTGCGTGCATCGTAGGGAAAAAGCCCAATAAAAAACCGGCACGTGTCAACGCACTGCTAAATAATCACGGGTGAGCGGCAAAGAAAACGCAACAATGAACGGGGCAAAAATAAGGATAGATCGCAGAGCAGTGAAGCGAGGACAAAAGTTCTTCGCTGTGTAGCTGTTCGGTGGTAAACAAAAGCCGCCGTCAAGCATTAAATAAGGCATTAAGTACTGCACACAAGGAGGATGTATAGCGTTCTTCCAGCGGCGGTAACTAAGCTACCTCGAAAAAGTTGCTTAAAAATAAGTAAACTAGCGAATGAATGAGTTGGAGTGGAATTCAGATTGTCGTGTATAGAGTGTGTGTTATCTCGTATGCGATGCCTTGTTTCTGGATGAGAAAACCCGTAAGTTAAAGAGTTATATTGGCAGTGAATACGTCTTTCGTCGGAGTAGTAAATTATTGTGATGATCTCACGACCTCAAATTGCATTGAAGTTTCTGAGTTAGGTGAAGTCTCCCAAAGCTAATAAATAATCAACATTCGATCAAACTAGCGTTGCTCCTAATCAATTATCTCTGTTGCCGTCGCCATTTATAGTTTTCTGCATCGTGTAGAAGCGCAATTTTTTCAAATTGCGCTTCTTTATGGTTTTCTGCATCGCGTAGAAGCGCAATTTTTTTTAATTAAATGCTTGCATCCACGCGTAGAACAAAACGTTTTTAACGAATCTATTGGATTTCTAGCGTTCACGATATTGATTTTTGAACTC